CGGCGGTTCCGCGGCGGCGGTTCCGCGGCGGCCCGAGCGGCACCGGTCTCATTTTTCCCGGCACCGAGCGGTGTCTTTGTCGGGGTGCGGAGGCGGGGCAGGTCCCTTGCCCACGCCTGGTGGTCACTCGCCGTCGTGCCCCCAGACCTGGGCCGTGGCCCGGGGGAGTAGGGGGATGCGGCGGGAAACCACGGAGGCGCGAGGCCGGACCTTCAGGCCCACTTCACATGAGCTGTCCCTGTGCTGGATTTACGCTAATTTTTAATTAAATCAGAGCAAACATCCGAGTAAATGACAATTACATGCTTACATTGATAAGCCAAATGTGTAATGCCATCAAAGAATGAAATTGGGTTTGGCTGGCCAGATCTGTTTTCTAGAAGAGTGGATATTGACTGGCATAAAATACAGTGTTTGTCCTTCCTTGATTATTTTACTGTCACCTTTTCCATGCTTGCCCAGGGCAGATAAGCCTTGTGGCCTAGGCGCCCTGGTCACCCCTCATTTTGAACATTGACATGATCTTCAGTAATTTCCTTCATACTCCAAGATTCATTAAATGTTAACATTCTTGGGATTTCTTTAGCCAGTTCTTCAAATATTGTTACACAGAAGTTCTCTAGACAGCCCAATTTAAAAATGTTTGTTCTAGTAGATGCTGTTCACTGTCTTCATTACTCACTAATAAAAGTGCCTCTTCCTTAGTCTAGGGAGGGAATAGAAGTTTTTACCATTTCTGCCACTTCTATGCTATTTTACCATCTCTAGTCATACACCTTGGCACTGTTGCACTCCACATTTTACTCTCTATAGTCACATCAGTCATGCATTTTCTGTGGTCTTCATTTTTTGCATATTGAAGAACATATTTTCCTATATATTTGCCTTTCCACGTTCTATACTATGCTTTTAACTTCTAAGTGTTTTCTTCACTCTGCTGATGAGCCAAAACTGTCCTTCAACAAAACTAGCTAGTTTGTTAATAATGCAATGATGACTTTTAGACTTTGGAGTAAGATCATAAGAATTTCTATCTCTATGTTTGAATCTTATTTTTCTCATAATTTCTCTCATCTTGATGGAGATAGTTTGAAGCATCTCTATGTGTGTAGGAGAGTATTTCCCTGTCTGGGACTGTCCGTTTTTGCTTGTTATAATCAAATTGTGATTGCTGGCTCCTAAGCAACCACCACTTTTTTGTCCTGTGATTAAACTGTTTAAACATGAGTTCCAAAACACTTATTCCATATAGACTGGAGTAGCTTCTGTCACAGACAAGTTTTAGAAAAATCTAATGAGACACAGGTGATGGCTATTTGGGGCTTTTTCCTCATACAGTTCCAAACTGAGCACACTTTTTGTACATTGGAGAAATAAGCAGTTGAATTCTTTGTAGCCATCTCTACTCCATTCTGCCCCTCTTCAACAGGGTTAATTGGGATAAGCTACTCTCTCTGCATCTCATTTCTCCTCATCAATGAAAATACCCAATTCCTCTTGAATGTTACCCACACTCAGAAATTTGACATTTAGACCACTGAAAAACATCTTCCTCTTTCCCTCCAAGTACTGATTTACCTACAAAATGGACCCAGCAGCATGGTTCTGGTTCCATTTCTGGTTTTCTGCAACATTATTACCTGGGAGTCTGAGTTTCAGGCCAGAGACATTTAGTGGATTAGGCTGACGTGAGAATTGTGGCTGTTCCTGGTCAGGGCAGTCAGCAAACTGACTTTTTCATTCATAGTTGCACATCACAGCTCTGGATTACTAGGAAGGAGTCACAATACAAAGATTTTCTCTTCAGAGACCCAGTGTTGTTGCCTACACTTTGCAGGCTCCAGCATGGTTTTTTTGGTGTGGTGGAAACACACGTGCATTAGTTAATTTCTTCTGCCTATTTTCCTCTAAAATCAGTAGTTTTTCCTGTCAGCCATGCCATAACATGCAAATATTATTAAATCTGAGGTCAGCAGTAAAGTAAATGTGCACTCACAAGAGCATATTTTTGTTATTATATCACTGTTATTACTGTGGTTATGAGGAGAACTGCTTGCAAAGCACTCAGCTAGGGTTAGCATCTTAGACAGTAAGGCATATCAAGGTCACAGCAGACAACAAAATGACAACACATCAGCAAATTTGCAGAGGCAAAGCATGGTCTGTTTTGAAACCCATGTAGCCATAAATGGTCTTGCACCCCTCATCTGAGGGACTGTGTCGTGCTAGATTCTGCTGGGGAGTTCAAGATCACTGTGTGATGTGCTTCACTGTGGAGGACACCATCGTTGTTGTTGCTGTGAGAACAGACCAGACAGGCCAGTCTGGCTGCCTAGCAGAGCCATATCATGCATCCCTGGGAATAATTACCACCAGCAGTATACTGGTGGCTGCATTCTGTTTTCGTTGCTAGTGCTTAATGTTCAAGATGATAGCTGAACTGTTGTCCAAGTTCTTTATTATTGTGCTTCTAGTCACAGAAGGTATTTGTTTGCTGAAATTTTTCATAAGCGCCAAAGGGAGGTGACAGGAATGGAAGACATTTACGTTCCACTCCTTCATCCCTGTGAAGCTCATCCACCTTCATGCTAGTGCAGAATGATGGGTTGGTTATGGAGGTGGGGTACACAAGACCTCAAGTTCCTCAACTGGTGGTATTTAGACTGATATGAAAAGCCACCTGTAAAGCCACCTGTCTAATCAGACCAATGTAATATTATTTATGCTGTAAGTGGGCGTGGAGTGTTTTGGACACATAAAATGAATGTCCCCACTCTGAGGTTTTCACAGTCCAAATTAGATTTAACATGCTAAGAGATTATAAGAACAGGGAATGGAAGGAAGCAGCAGAGGCTGACAACAGGAACAGGCTTGTGACAAGCTGAATTCTATGGACATGTTGTTAGATCCTCCGGAGCTTTTTGTTGTAAATAGAGCAAAGTATTTGTACTTGTCAGCAATTTTTTAGAAGAAAAGCATGGCAGATGGGTGAGTGAAAAAAAAAGCTAGAAAGGAGTTAAGGTGTGTGAGTTGACGTGGGTCTCAGAGACAACATGGGCATTCTCTACGTGGGGACTGTTGTGAAGAAAAGAAATCAAGGGAGTGAAGAAACGTACATGGAGCACATGCAGAGCGGCAAAAAGGGGGAAGAGACCTCATGATAAGTACAGGGAGGACCTTTTTGCAAACAGTTGGAACTAATTTGATCTGGAATTATTTTATTTCATCAACATTGATCTGGAATTACTTATCTGGTTAATTCTTCTTGTGTATGTATTTTAGTTACAACTGAATGCTGAATAGCCTTAAGGTAGCTTTTTGACAAAAAGCAACACTTGAGCTGCTGAGAGTTTGCTCTGAGAAGGCAAAGGTATACCCAGAAAGTAAAAAATAAGATCAGGATTCCAGTTTGCTCATTAGAGCTTTTTTACTGACACATACAAGGAAATAAGTCTGAACTTGTTTCATTTGATCTTGGAAATGAGGCAATTGAGTAGTTCCTGTACGATACAGTAATCAACTTCACTCCTAAGACTTATGCTTAGAATTATCATCTCATGCCATAAGATGGTCTCTAACATTTTATTGTTATAAATATTGATCTGAGGGAACAAAATCATCTTCATCTAAGTCAAGTAGAAGGATCCTCTGAGCATTTGATAAAACTGTATGGGCTACATCTGTGTTTAGAATACATTTGTTACTCATTTTTTATGTGATCATAATTAACTAGTGAACTTCACTTGTATTTTGTTGCACAGCGATTCATGCTGAGCCATGGAGACATCTAGCAGTGCAAATCCCTCTGGAGAGAATGGGTTATATTAAGAGACTGACAGACTTTGGGCATTTGAAGGATATTTTGACTTTAAAATAACTCATCAAA